TAACCTGGTCCAAGCCCGAGGCACCGAACGACCCCAGACGAACAAAAGCAAGGAGCAGGGGTATTTAGGGGCCTCAAAAAACAAACCCCAGACGAAGGAATGCAAGGAGCAGGGTTTTTTAGGCGCCTCAAAAAACGAACCCCGAACGAACGAACGCTAACGAGCGGGGAAGATTTGTCCCGAACCCCGGTTTGGTACTTCGCTCATGCCTAGGCCTAGCTAGCCAACTAAGCACATATCTATTCAGCCGTATCTGCTGCACGTTGGCATTGGCAAACGCCAAAACGAGTAATAATTGACTCATTTTCAGCCGACTCGTTTTGGAAACGAGTCGAGTCGAGTATTACTCGACCAAGTAATTTTAACTTTAGACCCGACTCGTTACTCGCAAAAAAAAAAACAAGTATTTCATTACTCGGACCGAGTAGTGAAGTGATCGTTTTGTAGCAAGTAATACTCGACTTGAGCTAAACAGGTGTAGAGACCGAGTAATAATTTACTCGTTTCCAAAAAACAGTCAACTGCGAGTAGTCATTTACTCGCGATTAATAATCAACTCGACTCGTGCGAGTAATTTTCTGGAAGAGGCCGACTCGTTACTCGCCCAAAACGAGTAACAAAAACGAGTTGAGTAAATCACTTGACTCGTTGCTCATGTCTAGCTGCACGGTGAGTTCAGCACACAAGACATTTTCATAGTGAAAACCAGAGAGTGGGATGCACAAACGTTAGAAAACAAAATGGAAAACATATAAACCCAGACGGGTGTGCTCGAGCTCGGGCTGTCACTAGTGGGAAGGGTCAAATCAAGGACCAGGTCAGCAGGTAAGTGGGAAGTCGAACACCATCATCATGAAAGCCCATATTCCCCTTGCCTGGAACACGCGAGCAGAGAGCATGCAATGCGGCGTTGTTTGGTGGGGCGGTTGCCTTACATTAAGGTCAGTGCAGTCATTAGGGTGATCAATGTTGGAATCGGCCCTTCCAATTGGTTGTCCCCAAGATACCTGTGTCAAAGAAACAGCGTGCAATCCAAAAGAGATGCTTTAAGAGTTGCTACAAGTGGACTGTGGATGCTGTGATTGGAGCGGGAGGAAGGCACTGTAGCACAGTGCACTTGAATGCCTAAAGCCTTCTGCAGTAGCAACTGATGTGAGTATGCCTTCTGATTGCAGCTACAAAGAGCATATGGGTAGGGAGGGAGAGACCGGGAGATACAAACAATAGAGCAAAAAATGAGAACATTGTAGGGGGGGAGGGAAACGGAGGCAGTCAGAAGGGGTGTGATGCAAGGAGTGGGGTGCAAGGGCCTTACATCTGGTACAGGGCAGTGAGAGCGCCGATACCATCAAGCAGGGGCCCGCTGAGTTGATTAAGGTGAGCGTTGCTGCGTGGTGGGTGGGTGGGGCAAGGCATGCAAGCGGGTGGAAGAATATTTGCAGCAATGCTCCACGGGCTGGGCCACGAACGGGCTGGGCCACGAACGGTCTGGGCCACGAATGGGCTGGGCCATGAACGGGCTGGGCCATGAACAGGCTGGGCCATGAACGGGCTGGGCCATGAACGGGCTGGGCCATGAACGGGCTGAGCCATGAACGGGTTGGGCCACCACGGACGGCTAGTGACGAGCCGGGAGTGCCGCAGACACATGGCCGGCTTGTCGCAAGCCAACGGCTCTCATTTCAAACCATGACCCGTGATGACGTGACCTGCCACGAGTTTGTAGGCTCACAGAGACATGTGATGTGACATTAGCCAGACACATCTTTTGCCGACTCAGTGGGGAGCTGAATGCGTCGTCTTGCGGCAAAACGACCATACATGCACTTGGCTCATGCAAAGGGCACCTCACAATTCTTGTAAAGCAGTGAGTTTGGTGAAGCTAGTTGGGAGCGGGCCTGATATAGCATTTTGGTCCATATAACTAAGGGGGGGGAAGCAAGAAGGCATGGAAAGGGAGGGGGGAGCAAGAGTGAACAGGGAGAGTGAGAAAAAGAGGCAAGGCACGGGAGAAGGATGAGATGTATTACGTATGTGTGTGTGATGTGATGTGAACACCAAGGAGGATGAATGGGATAGGGGGGTGATGGGGCGATCAAATAAGGATTCATGCTGCACCAATGCATGGAAGGCAAGGCATGGGTAATCGAGTGCCTTGACTCAAATCCTATCGCCAACTCAACTTTGACTTATGATCGAGTCACATAAGCATGAACAATGGGCAATGAGAGTATTACCCGCCTCGTTTGGCTTGCGTCGCTCTAGTAACTACAAGCCTTCATGGACGAGCATTCCTGAAATTTTTTATGTGCGACAGGCATTTATTCTCTCGCCCGGAGATAAGAAAGACTTGCCTTAGTAGCAACAAACAATCGAGCCCTCCCCCTCCTCCCCTCACCCCTATGTGACTGGAAATACATTCACTGTCTTGAGCGCTAGCTTTCAAACTATAAACGTTTTGCAGCAGGTAGGGCAATAACTCTTATTATCAGCCACCTTCATTGAATGTACCATCAGTGATCTTCATACCACCAACCAACCCCTATATCCCTGTCAACCCACTCCCCTCGTGTCATATTTTCACACCCTCATCCCCATACAGAGTCACGCTTTGTCGTTGAACTGCGAGAGGATAGACAAGAAGCCCAAGTCAGAACAGAAGAGACTCGCAAGACAAAAACCCAGCTCGAGGCAGTCATCTCCTACTCGAGTACAAAAGATGAGAGCTATGACTCGAAAGAACTTTTTCTTTCTTTCTTTCACCCGACTTGGGATAAAATCGCCACCTTGACTCTACACTTTTGCCGACTCTAGACCAACTCGACCCGATTCCTCTCGAACCATCTCATGCCCACGTCAGAGAGTGGAGCAAGGGACGTAACAAAAAGAGTGGACGAGTACGTACAAGTATTTAAGCTTGCTGAGGACGCCAATGGTCTCGGGAAGGGAGCCCTTTATTCGTCTGTATGTAAAGTCTCTGCTCCACACAGTACAATGCAGCCACAAAGAGGCGAAGGTCAGAGTGTGAGGCTGCATAGGATTGAGACAGTTTGAAGAGTTCTCAAAACTAACAACAATCCTGCATCCACCAATAGGGGAAGGTCAGAGCGATGCGAGTCCTAGACTCTATCAAACTTATATCATATAGATTGTCTAGGCTATATCGGGGTAGAACCTATGGGGTACAATTTCCTAGGGTTTCCTGTCAGTAGAGCTACACTGTGAGATCTCCGATCGATCCTAGGGGGGGTTACAGGCGCGGCTGCTTGGGAGGTTATGGGCACACTGACCCGCTACTGAAACAAGCCCTTTTATCCCAATGGTCTAGTGGTTGGGATTCTGACATGGTATCAAAGCGGTCTCGGGTTCGAATCCCGGTGTATGCACATGTTGGCCGTTGCCACTGTGCTCAGTCCTGGGCCTCCTAGTGTGGGGGGGTGTTAGTAGAGCTACACTGTGAGATCCCCGATCGATCCTAGGGAGGGTTACAGGCGCGATTGCCTGGGGGGTTATGGGCGCACTGACCCGCTACTGAAACAAGCCCTTTTATCCCAATGGTCTAGTGGTTGGGATTCTGACATTTCATACTTGTACCCAACCTTGTGCTAGTTCATTCATTCCTTATTCTTCACATGGTATAGAGCAGGTTCCCTCGTGGGACACTTCTCAGGGCCCACCACCTAGCTCGATCTTTTTTTTCTGCCTGAGGCGTGCCCCGTAGGCCGCCCCCACGTCGCGCCCTTCTAGAGGCCCCTCGCGCCACCCTTAGCGGCCCCGTCGCCGTCCTTAGCGACCTTGTCGCCGCCCCTCTAGGCCCCTCGCGGCCCCTTCACGGCCCTGTCTCCGCCGCTCTAGGCCCCGACGCCGCCGCTCTAGGTCCCTCGCGGCCCCTTCACGGCCCCGTCGCCGCCGCTCTAGGCCCCGACGCCACCCCTAGAGGCCCCGTCGCCGCCCCTCTAGGCCCCTCGCGGCCCCTTCGCGGCCCCGTCGCCGCCACTTGCGGCCCCGTCGCCGCCCCCTCTAGGCCCCTTCGCGGCCTCGTCGCCGCCCCTCTAGGCCCCTTGCGGCCCCTCTGCGGCCCCGTCGCCGCCCCTAGCGGCCCCGTCGCCGCCCCTTCGCGGCCACCTCGCCGCCCTTAGCGGCCCCATCGCCGCCCCTAGCGGCCCCATCGCCGCCTCTACCGGCCCCGTTGCCGCCTCTACCGGCCTCGTCGCCGCCTCTACCGGCCCCTTCACCGCCAAGCCGCCCAGCAGCCGAGCCGCCGAGCCACCGAGCCGCCTAGCAACCGAGCCGCCGAGCCGCCCAGCAGCCGAGCCACCCAACAGCCAAGCCGCCAAGCCGCCTAGCAGCCGAGCCGCCGAGCCGCCCAGCAGCCGAGCCGCCGAGCCGCCCTGCCGTCGAGCCCCGAGCCGCCCTGCCGTCGAGCCCCGAGCCGCCCTGCCGTCGAGCCACTACTGTTCCTACCGGCGCGCCCTGACCCTACTTACTCGGACTGGTGAGATCACTCTCTACTAGACCACTGCTGTCAAGGCTACCCCCAGTGTCCTTACCTTTGATGCTAAGGGTCGTGCTGTTGACTTTGAGGTCTAAGTCGATGACCTCCAGCTGTTCCTACGGTGCAATAGGGCAAACGGACTCTCCCTGTTTGATCTCACCTCTGGTGCCTCTCCTGCCCCGCCTACCAGTGCTGACAGCATTGTTTGCTCACAGTGGGCCACACGCGATGCTTCTGCCCGCCTTGCTGTGCGTCGCCACTAACTGACCTCTGAGCGTGCGCAATTTAGCTAGTATAAGAGTGCTAAAACCTTGTACGACGCTGTAGTTGCACACTACTCCTCCCTTGCCACCGGTGCGCTTAGCCGCTTCATGCTACCGTACCTCTTCCCTGACCTTGCTGCCTTTCCCACAGTCGCTGACCTCATTACGCACCTTCACACTAGTGACACTCGCTACCGCGCTGCGCTTTTTGCTGAGTTCTGTGCCAAGAACCCCCCTTCCCCATGTACATCACCCTCTACTACATAGTCACCCGGCTCCCTGACTCCCTTCGCTTAGTCAGGGACCACTTCCTCTCAGTTTGCCCCACCACACTCATCGTTGACCTCCTCGAGGAGCACCTCCTAGCAGCTGGGAAGAGCAGAGTTGCTGTAGGAGCCTCTCGTGGTGACCCTCGCACCCCCGTCTTTGAGGGGTGTTCCCCTTCCCGCCTCTTGCCCTCTGTTGCTTCTGCTGCTGCGGCCGACCTTGTTGGTTTCGAGTCGGCCGGCGCTGCATCTGCCTCTAGCGAGAGACGCCGCACCGGCAAGGGCAAGGGGGGCAAGGGCGCTGGAGGGGCTGGCGGGGGCGGTGGAGGTGGTGGTGGAGGCAGTGGAGGGGGTGGAGGTGGTGGTGGGAGTGGTGGCGGGGGTGGAGGTGTCGGTCGCAGCAGTGGAGGCGGAGGAGGCAGCGGCGGTGGCGGAGGGAGCGGAGGCAGCGGAGGTGGCGGAGGCGGCGGAGGTGGCGGAGGCGGCGAAGGTGGCGGAGGCGGCAGCGGCAGCGGTGGAGCTGGTCGCGGCTCTACACACAGGAGTGGGTCCGGTGGTGGTCCGCGCCAGCAGCAGCAGCGCAGTCGTGAGACCGTGTCCCCTCAGAAGCTTCGTGAGTGGTACGCTGCGCGTCAGCGCGGTGGGGGTACTTGTCCCTGCACCTACGTCCTCCGTACCGGCGACCGCGCAGGTAAGCAGTGAGGGGGCCCGCACTTTATTTAGCGCAGCTTCGGCCGCCTGACGGACGCGTGGCGTCACCATTTGCCTGAAGCCTCTGAGATCCCTCGCTGGGGAGAGCTGTCTAGGGCGGGGGTTGCTATCTTTGATCTTGATTATGATGATATTCTTGCTGCCATGTATGCTATGTCTTATAGTGTTGAGGGTGACTGTTACCTGTGTGTTCCGCCTGACCCGGGCATTGAGGCTGCTGCTCTAGGTGCTGGTGAGGCTGCTGCTCTAGGTGCTAGTGCGTCTGCTGCCCCAGGTGCTGGTGAGTCTGCTCTCTTAGGTACTACGTCGGCTCAGGCCTTACACACCTTCACCCTTGACTTGGGTGCTTCCCGCTCTTTCTTTCGAGACCGCACCACGCTTACGCCGCTTAGTCCACCGGTTGAAGTCTCCCTGGCGGACCCCTCAGGGGTCCTGTCCTTGATAGCTTCTCCACCGTCTTACCGTGCCCGGCAGCCCCCTCTGGCACCCTGTCAGGTCTCTACCTCCCCTCTTTCTCTACAAACTTGGTGAGTGGAGCTGATCTACAGGATAGGGGGGTTGACCAGTTCACTCCTGCAAGTCAGCGGGTGACCCACTGCATGTGTGCTCGGACAGGCCGACACTTGGCCACATTCACCCGTCGGCCAGGGTTGAGCCTGTACACACTTACTACTGAGTCTCCTCCGGCTGCTCAGTCTGGTCAAGTAGCTGCGTCGAGTCAGGTGTTTGCTGCAGCGTCCAGGTCTGGTCCTGAGTCTGCTCCCTACTCGTGTCGTCTCCTGTCCCACCAGACTCTCCTTTGGCACCACCGCCTTGGTCAACCCTCCCTGCCTTGTCTCTGCGACATGGCCTCCCATGTCCTTGTCTCTGGTCTCCCCCGGTCTCTCACTCCCCTACCTCCGGGGCCTGCCCCTACCTGCGTTCCCTGCGTCAAGGGGCGACAGCACGCTGCCCCTCACTCCTCCGAGTTTCCTCCGATAGAGGCCCCGCTGCAGACTCTTTACATGGACGTGTGGGGCCTCGCCCGCGTCCGTAGCCAGGGGCACGAGCCTTACTTCCTGTTGGTGGTCGACGACTACTCGCGTTACACCACAGTCTTCCCCTTGCGCAGCAAGGGTGACGTCACAAGCTGTCCCCCCGTGCTGTTCCCTGTGTCTTCCTTGGCTTCCCCCCTGACGCGCCTGGGTGGCAGTTTTACCACCCCACCTCGCGCCGTGTTCTGTCCTCCCAGGACGTCACCTTTGACGAGTCGGTCCCTTACTACCGTCTCTCCCCCTACCCCACTGCGCCCCTCCCTCCGCCGCCGCTCTTCCTTGCACCAGGTCCTCTTCCTGGTAGACCCCCTCCCCCCTCAAGGTCCTTCTGCATCAAGTGTGTCAAAGGTAGACGCAGTCGAACCTGTCGAGGTAGCTGTTTACTCTGGTGCTACTAGAGGTGCTGAACCTGCGGGTGCCGGGTCTGGAGGTGCTGAGCCTAAGGGTGCGGAGCCTCGGGGTCCTGAGTCCAAAGGCGCGGAGCCTGGGGGTGCTGAGCCTGGGGGTGCTGACTCTGGGGGTGCTAAGCCTGGGGGTGCTGAGTCTGGGGGTGCTGAGCTTGGGGGTGCGGAACCTGTGGGTGCTGGGTCTGCTCGTGTGGCCTCTCGTGGTGCTTCGTTGAGGCGGGAGCCACTCTCTCCGTAGGAGCTGCGCGAGTGGTTTGCCCGGCGCTGGAGCCGTGCTGCTGGAGCTTGAGGTACTACTGTTGCTGCTGGTCCCGTAGGTACTCGTACTGGCGGTACTAGAGCTGCTGGGACTGGGGGTGCTGTTGGGGCTGCTGGAGTTGGTCCTGCTGGAGTTACTGCTGAAGCTGCTAGCGGTATTGAAGCTGCCGGTCCTGCTGGAGCTGGAGCTGCTGGGGGTGTTGGCGCTAGTGGTTTTGCTGGCGCTGGTGGTTCTGCTGGCGCTAGTGCTGCCGCTGGGGGTACTGGTGCTGTCCCTGCTGGTTCTGGAGGCGCTGCGCGGCCGCGGCTGTACTTCGTTCCGCTCCTTGAGCAGGTTCTTGGTCTCCCACCCTCTACTGGTCTTGCTCCTCCCTTAGAGTGTCCACAGCCTGTCCAGTCGCGGTCACAGTTACAGCCCGCCTCCCCCTTACCTGCTTGATCTCCCTACACTGGTCCTACTGGAGGTCTTGCTGAGCGACGTGAGCCTGCGTCTCGTCCTACGTCGCCTGTTTGTGCTGCTTGCACTAGTAGTCGTGCTCCGCGTCCGCGACCTCCTGCCGTCCCAGGCACACACCAGATGGTACTGCGTCCTTCCACTGCTCCTCTGCGTGTCCCGTTGCCGTCTCCTCTAGAGTCCTCTCTTCTTGTTCTTGCTGACCAGGAGTCTGACTCTCTTCGTGCTGCCAGTCCTACTGTCACGCGTCTCCTGGCCACTGCTGTCACTGACCCTTCCTTTGAGTCCACTGCTGCGTCGGCCCTAGTTTGTGAGCTTGTCAACTTTGCTGCTCGCTGTCATCTAGATTACGCTGCTAGTCTTGTTGCTGAGTCTGAGTCTAACTGTCCCGTACGTCGGGGGTGAGTGTGCTCTTAGCACGGACGTACTTGAGGACAGGCAGGAGGAGTTCCAGTGTTTTGCTGCTGCTTAGCCTCATCTCGTGTCCACGCTGATTGCCCCTGAGGGAGACCCGGATGCACCAAACATCCCGACTCCTTGATCGTACGCTGAGGCGATCAAGGGTCCCTACTCCTCACAGTGACAGTCAGCCATGGACGTAGAGATGGCTTCCTGGAAGTCCACAGGCACCTACGTCAACGAGGTTCCCCCACCTAGGGCGAACATCGTCAGTGGCATGTGGATTTTCAGGGTGAAGCCGCCGCCAAGTTCTCCGCCTGTCTTCAAGGCGCGTTACGTGGCTCGAGGCTTCAGTCAGCGGCAGGGAGTTGACTATTTTCAGACCTTCTCTCCCACCTCGAAGATGACCACTCTTTGGGTGCTGCTGCACATAGCCGCTCAGCGCGACTACGAGCTCCACTCTTTTGACTTCTGTACAGACTTCTTGCAGGGCAGCCTGCATGAGGAGATCTGGTTGCGCCGCCCACCTAGCTTCAATGGTTCGTTTCCTCCTGGTTCCCAGTGGAGCCTCCAGCGGCCAGTCTACATTCTCTGCCAGGCGCCTCGCGAGTGGCACAACACACTGAGGACTACACTTGCATCTCTTGGGTTTGCTCCTTCTACAGCCGACCCGTCACTGTTTTTGCGCACCGCCACCTCTTTGCCGCCGTTCTATATCTTCGTGTACGTCGACGACTTGGTCTTTGCCACTGGTGACACCGCTGGACTCACCCACGTGAAGTCCAAGCTGTAGAAGAGACACACGTGCACAGACCTGGGTGAACTGCGCACCTACCTTGGCTTGCAGATCACCCGGGACAGAGCACAGCACACCATTACCCTGACTCAGTCACACATGGTGCAGCAGGTCTTTCAGCGCTTCAACTTCACGTACTTCTCGCCTCAGGCCACTCCTCTGTCTACTCACCACTCACTCTCAAATCTGCCTTCGGATGAGTCCTTAGAGCCAAGTGGCCTGTACCTAGAGCTTGTTGGCTGCCTCATGTACCTGATGACCTGCACACAAGCTGACATTGCATACCCTCTTAGCATCTTGGCACGCTATGTTTCTCCTGGGAGACACCGACCAGAGCACATGGCTGCAGCGAAGAGGGTGTTGCGCTACTTGTGCAGTACGTTGGGCATGGGGGTGCTTGGAGGGCAAAGTCAAGCGGTCCTCACAGGTCACGCAGACGCTTCTTGGGCTGACGACCAGGCTATGCAGCGGTCGTCACAGGGTTACACCTTGAGTCTTGGCTCCGGCTCTGTTTTGTGGTGGTCTACCCGCTCGTTTCTTGTTCTCGGCTCTAGCTGTGAGGCTGAGATCTTCGCGGGGGCCATGATTGTACCGGAGCTAAGCTAGCTCACCTACCTACTGACTGACCTAGGAGAGTCGCCTCGTTCTTCTCCAAATCTGTACGTAGACAACAAGGCCATGCTGGCCTTGTGTCGGGAGCACAGACTAGAGCACAGAACCAAGCACATTGCTCTATGCTACTTCCTTGCTCGTGAGCTGCAGCAGCGTGGTTAGGTGCGCCTTGCTTACGTGGCCTCTGAGGCCAACACTGCTGATATCTTTACCAAGGCACTTCCGCGTGGTGATCATCAGCGCTTCTGTACTATGCTAGGTATTGTGCCTACTTGGCCTCACTTGCTCACTTCTTAACCTTGCTTGTAATGTGATCTTTCTATATCTGCACTTGCCTGTTTACCTCTATAGATGATCTTGCATGTGAACTAGCCTTGTGGCCTTGCTCTTGTGCTCGGATTGTGTGGTGACATTGTGATCCACCCTGAGCTTGAGTTGCTTTGCTTGACTGGTCTTGTGACCTCTTGTTCTCCCCCACTTTGCCTATGGGTGTGTGTCAAACTTCAATCATATAGCTTGTCTAGGCTATAGTGGGGTAGACACTATGGATTGGTGCTTGTTCGATAGCTGTACAGAAAATACAAAAAAAAATAAAAAAAAAATAGTGGAGTTCGCGGCACTGTCCTTCTCCGACAAAAGCGGGCTTGGTGAATGGCATGCGAAAAATTCAAGGAGCTGCGAGGATAACATCAGTGTAGTTTATACGTTTCTTCTGACCCGGGCGTCTACACACGAGGTGACGGCGCAGCGGCGAAGCTGAGACTGGAAAGCTGTGAAATTTTAGCGGCATGATAGGCATGGCGGGCTGCAAAACGGTTGGGCGATAGTTTCTTTTAAACTAAGGCTACCCTGACTCCGATAGTTTTTGCCTCTCCACCGGGGCCGAGTTCGCGCGGGCAACAACGACGATACCTCATCCGACAAAAGTGGACGTTGGGTGAACGGCGGGAAGCGGAATTGTCGGGGGGTGAATACAAAAAAAATGACGACGAAGGGAAAGTTGTGGGTGATCCAGCAGATCACTTGAGTGAGAGGTTGAGCCCGTGCACCAATCCACCGCGAATTTCGGAGTCTATTCGGCAGACCCCCGTGTTGTGTGATGCAACCATATGCATTCACGTCTGTCTGCCTCCCATCATGTGTTTGTGCGTTGCATGTGTGGTGTGAGCGTGTGCAAGAAATTTGTGTCTTGTGTGGTTTGGATTTTCTGTGTGTGTTTGTGTGTGTATGTTATTTGGCTTGAGCAGATATGTGAAGTGATTCCTCTACTCAAGAGCTTTCCGACGAACCATGAATCGTCGCGATCGGAGCACAACCAAGAAAGTTACAAACATTGGAGTTCGTATGCTTATATATTTTGATTGCAGCTTCTTTGGGAAGTTGTGGCATTGACTCAATATGGGGTACCGACTTGTGGGGGTTGGGAAATTCGAACCCATCACTGTAGATGCTGCCAAGAGGTTGGGTAAAGCCAAACCAGGTTGGTAAGTGTGGCCAAGTTGTGGTGAGGTGGATGGCATGAGTTGGAAAGTGACAAAGGTCAAAGTTTGTTGCCTATGGGGAAGGGAATTGTGTGGCATAGGGTTTCCTTGG